TAGTAGAGACGGGGTTTCACCATGTTGACCAGGATAATCTCGATCTCTTGACATTGTGATCCACCCACCTCGACCTCCCAAAGTGCTGGGATTACAGGTGTGAGTCACCACGCCCGGCCTAAAGATTTAAGCATAAGACCTAACACCATAAAAACCATAGAAGAAAACCTAGGCAAAACCATTCAGGACATAGGCCTAGGCAAGGACTTCATGACTAAAACACCAAAAGCATTGGCAACAAAAGCCAAAATAGACAAAAGGGATCTGATTAAACTCCAAAGCTTCTGTACAGCAAAAGAAACAATCATTATAGAGAATTGGTAACCAACAGAATGGGAAAAAATTTTTGTAATCTACCCATCTGACCAATGGCTAATATCCACAATCTACAACGAACGAAAACAGATTTACAAGAAAAAAAAGCAAACAAATCCATTTAAAAGTGGGTGAAGGACGTGAACAGACACTTTTCCAAAAGAACACTTATATGAGGCCAACAAACATATGAAAAAATGCTCATCACCACTGGTCATTAGAGAAATGCAAATCAAAACCACATTGAGATACCATCTCATGCCAGTTAGAATGGTGATCATTAAAAAATCTGGAGACAACAGATACTGGAGAGGATGTGGAGAAATAGGAACACTTTTACACTGTTGGTGGGAGTGTAAGTTAGTTCAACCATTGTGGAAGACAGTGTGGCACTTCCTGAAGGACCTAGAAATAGAAATTCCATTTGACCCAGCAATCACATTACTGGGTATATATCCAAGGGATTATCAATCATTCTATTATAAAGACACATGTACATGTATGTTCATTGTGGCACTGTTTACAATAGCAAAGACCTGGAACCAACTCAAATGCCCATCGATGATAGACTGGGCAGGGAAAATGTGGCACATACACACCATGGAATACTATACAGCCATAAAAAACAATGAGTTCATGTCCTCTGTAGGGACATGGATGAACCTGGAAACCATCATTCTCAGCAAACTGATGCAAGAACAGAAAATCAAACACCACATGTTCTCACTCATAGGTGGGTATTGAACAATGAGAATACAGGGACACATTGTGATGTGATGGACACAGGGAGGGGAGCATCACACACTGGGGTCTGTTGGGGGGAAGTAGGGGAGGGACAGTGGGGGGTGGGGAGTTGAAGAGATAGCATGGGGAGAAATGCCAGAAACAGGTGATGGGGAGGAAGGCAGCAAATCACACTGCCATGTGTGTACCTATGCAACTATCTTGCATGTTCTTCACATGTACCCCAAAACCTAAAACGCAAGAAAGAAAGAAAGAAAGAGAGAGAGAGAGAGAGAGAGAGAGAGAGAGAGAGAGAAAGAAAGAAAGAAGGAAAGAAAGAAAGAGAAAGAAAGAAAGAAAGAAAGAAAGAAAGAAAGAAAGAAAGAAAGAAAGAAAGAAAGAGAAAGAAAGAGAGAAAGAAAGAAAGAAAAAAAAATATACCACTGGAAAAACTTATCTTTGTCTCGTTAAAAACATTTGCTAAGCTTATTTGTGCATTGGTATGTGACAGGCTGAAGTTATCTCATTTAATCCCCAGGACAACGCTCAAAGGCAGGTTTTCATATTTCTGTTTTGTATGTGATGAAATGGAAGCACACTTACGGGTTTAATAACCTGTCCAAAACGGCAAGTTTGGGAACTGGCAAAGTGGAGCACAAGCCGACATCTAACTCCCCACTAAGGTCACTTCTTACAGTCATTCTCTAGCATCCAGAAATCTGCACTCGTACAGAGATTTCAAACATTTCTTTTTTTCTTTTCTTTTTCTTTCTTTCTTTCTTTCTTTCTTTCTTTTTTTTTTTTTTTGAGATGGAGTTTCCCTCTTGTCTCCCAGGCTGGAGTGCAATGGTGCGATCTCAGCTCACTACAACTTCCACCTCCTGAGTTCAAGCAATTCTCCTGCCTCAGCCTCCCATGTAGCTGGGATTACAGGTGCCCATTACCACACCCAGCTAATTTTTGTATTTTTAGTGGAGACAGGGTGTCTCCATGTTGGCCAGGCTGGTCTCGAACTCCTGATTTCAGGTGATCTGCCTGCCTTCCCTGGCCTCCCAAAGTGCTGGGAGTATACTGCATCCAGATTTCAAGCATTTCTATGAGCTGATATTCACTGATATTTTTGAGGCAAGACCCCAGTATTATTTCTTATTTTGCCAAAAAAAAAAAAACAATCTGATGTAGAGACCATGGCTTTCCACAAATGGCATAATAATAGCAGGCAGATGGGCAAGCCATTACATTTCAAGTCTGTGATTTGGCCATCAGCTCCCTGTGGCCGGTGACCAGGGAAAATGTTTTGGTAGCTGGAGTTCTTGGTGAGCTCCTGTCCTTGCACCAGAATCAGCAGTTTCTTTGGGAGCAATATTTGTCTTATTATAATAATCCCAAGAAAACGGTGATCAGAATTAGGGAAGGATGGAAAACTGGTAGCATCAATGGCTGTCTATAAATCCATGCAAGTTTTAGTTTCCAGGTCGGTTCATGAGCTCTATTTCACAGCATTATTGAGGATATTTTTATACTTTGTTTACACCCCACACATAGCCAACACTTTTCTTTTGTATTAACATTTTGTTTATTAGAATTTTTTACTCAGAAGTTTTACCAATGTTAAAAACCAGTATTTCAATAATTCATTCCACCAAATCAAAGAAAATAAACATGTCTGTTTCACATATGTTACCATGAACATTTGTCAAGAAATATCTAAATAACCTCAAGAAAAATTAGAGGAAACAATAAACATATTTTGAAAACCTAATTATGGAGCAATCCCTTTCTCTTTTCCATTTGTATTATTATAAAATATCTAAAACAGAGCTATATACCTTTAACTCATACCAAATCAATGACAGACATCCTCTTTCGACTTTCTGCCTTACCTATCTCTTGGCTTATTATGCTCGGTACATTGCTTCCCATTCTCAGAAAGGGTTCAGGGCTGGGTTTTTTTGTGCAGACATGGCCATTGATTGAGCTACATGTATCCAACAGTTTTGATAAAGAACCAGAGAAGTAGCTGGCCAGCTGCCTGTGTACAGGAGGTCTCCCTCATAGGAGCTGGCTTTCTACCAATTTCTAGAAGTGGAAATATTCAAAGACAGAGCAGATGAGTGGAGAGAAGCAGAATGTAGGTTGATGTTCCTTGTAGGGCTGCACACCCAAAGAACCAGCAGAGGAATAAAGTGAAGAGGAAAACAGGCCAGTAAAGGACGCGACATACAGAAATCAGGGGGAGTGAGTGTGCTCGTGGAAAGAAGTGTTTTCCTGATGACTGACTATTTTCCAGGTGCCTGTTCTGTGAGACCTGTCCATAATTCCCATAAATGGGTCCAATGACATTTCCTGTATTCTCACACTAACAGCACTGGGACCACCTTGAGTTTTCTTTTTTAAAAAAATTTATTTATTATACTTTAAGTTCTGGGGTACCTGTGCAGAATGTGCAGGTTTATTACATTGGTATACATACATGTGCCATGGTGGTTTGCTGCACCCATCACCCCATCATCTACATTACGTATTTCTCCTAATGCTATCCCTCCCCAATCCCCACACCCCTGCTATCCCTCTGCTATCTCCCCACCCCCCAACAGGCCCAGTGTGTAATGTTCCCCTCCCTATGTCCACATGTTCTCATTGTTCAACACCCACTTATGAGTGAGAACATGCGGTGTTTGGTTTTCTGTTCTTGTGTCAGTTTGCTGAGAATGATGGTTTCCAGTTTCATCCATGTCCCTGCAAAGGACATGAACTCATCCTTTTTTATGGCTGCATAGTATTCCATGGTGTATATGTGCCACATTTTCATTATCCAGTATATCACTGATGGGCATTTCGGTTGCTTCCAAGTCTTTGCTATTGTGAACAGTGCTGCAATATGGGTGCATGTGTGATTTTTCTACTTGAAAGCTAGTTTGGGTTCTAAAATATATGGGTGCCTGTGTGATTTTTCTACTTGAAAGCTAGTTTGGGTTCTAACACTCTGAAGTTTGATTACTCAAATATTTCTGCAACAGGTTGTTGCTTTATGTTTTAGTTCCCGCTCAGACAGAAAGGGGCAGGGAAACAGCTTAGCACAGAGAAACAACCCTTCCTTCCCTCAGGGAGTCAGACTAGCCTGGTCCAAATGCCAGCTGTGTGACTTTGAGAAAGTTGCTAAGCTCCCTGTGCCTCAGTTTCTTCACTGATACAATAGTGTCGGCTCATGGTAGATTGTCTTAGTTCACTCGGGCTGCTGTAAGAAAACACCATAGACTGGGTTGCTTAAACAACCAAAATGTGTTTTTCACAGATATGGACGCACAGAGTACTGGCCACTTCAGTCTCTGGTGAGTGCTGTCTTCTTCCTAGCCTGCACAGGGCCATCATCTTGCTGTATCGTCACATGGCAGGACAGAGAGAAAAAGAGTGCTCTGGTCTCATTTTATAAGGGCACCAATCTCATCATGAGGACATCGTGTAAACTTTACTACCTCCCAAAGGCCCTGGCTCCTTATATCATGGCATTGAGAATCAGGGTTTCAACACAGGAATTTGGGGGAGGACATAAACATCCACACCATAACAGGTACTGTCAGTAAAGCAACTGGCAAGAGCTCCGTAAATGTTAGTCACTATTATTGTCACTCAAATACCAAACTTAAGGAAACAGAAGATATTGCAATAAACAGCATCTGTGTACCCATCTTGACAAATATAGAGACAAGCATATATTGTGGCAGATGCTAAAAGACTCAAATAGAAATAATGCAAACTTGCTTCCTTGAAGGAGCTCTTAGACTCCTGTGCTCTTTGGAAGACTCTGCTCCAAAAGACACGCTGCTTTCCTTGAGGACCACCCTCTGTTTTGCAGGGAAGGCGTTTCTAGCTACGGGAAAACATCCACGACAGGCCTGGAACCCACGCCTCTGGCACAACCATACAAGCCATGGGACAGAAGTCATGAGACAAGCACTGACCTTTCAGCTGTCGTAGTTAGTGCCTGTGACTTTGGCCAAGTCACTTAACCTTGTTCAGTTCAGCTTCCTTCTCTGTGGAATAGGAATAATATTTTTAATTTTTACTTTAAAATGTTCATGTTTTCATTATTATTGCATCAAAAGGAGATGCTTATGTTGCACTTTACAATGTGGTGCCTAACAAGGAGACAGCTGTGCACAGCATCTGGGCTGCAGAGTCCATGGGGTGAATGGGGAATCATCGTCATCATCATCATCATCATCATCGTCATCATTGTATTAGTCCATTCTCACACTGCTATAAAGATACTACTGAGACTGGGTAATTTATAAACAAAAGAGGTTTAATTGACACAGTTCCACATGGCTGGGGAGGCCTCAGGAAACTTACAGTCATGGCAGAAGGGGAAGCAGGAGGCAGCAGCGAGTGTGAATGTGTGAAGGAGGAACTGTCAAACAAAAACATCAGATCTCGTAAGAACTCACTTGCTAGCATGAAAACAGTGTATCGCAAACCACCCTCATGATCCAATCACCTCCCTCCCTTGACATGTGGGGATTACAGGTTCCTCTGTCGAGACGAGATTTGGGTGGGGACACAGAGCCAAATCCTCTCAATCATTATATACCTTATATCATCTCCCATATATGTCACATCTAACAACTACAGCCCTAATTTGCAGAGTTGCTGTGAGAATTAAATGAAGTGTGTGTAAAACCAGCTATCTGTAGTTATCTCATACAAGGACTCAGTAACCACCCTTAAAACAAACAAGCGTAGTACCTCCTTGTCAGGAGGGTTTGTGAGGAGAAAGTCTCTGCCCTGTCAACACATTTATCTGTAACAACAGGCAGAGCTCAATAAATCGCCATAATATACTGAGGCTGTGGCTCCATGAAGACAAACTTAACAGAGGGGCCAGGCGTGGTGAACTTCTGTCCTTGTCCTCAGGGATCCACCAGGTGGGGTCCTTGCAAGTCCCAGCGTTAACATTTAATGTGCTCTGGCACCGAAGATAAAGCAAACGTGAAAAGTTTTTCCACAGTGCTACCTACGTTTTCGCTGATTAGCTCAGAAATCACCGACATATTAAAAATGAAAAACAAAACACAGCAAGTCTAAAATAGGGTTAGTTCCTTCTCCCCTAAAGCATTTTTCCACATACTCTTTGTCCCATGGAAATGAAGATTCAAAGGAAAGTTTTAAAAGTGATGCATGCCCATTTTTTCCCCTAAATTTAGATGTAAACCTCAATGAATATTAATGGAGAGAGTGAGCCAATATAAAATAGTGTTTTTCAAAGACTGATAGAGATCCTTCTCAGAATCAATTGAGGTCTTTGTTAAAAATGTGGATTCCAGACTAGTTATCTTGACCCTCTGGAGATGGGGTGCTGGAATCCCCATGTTTAACAGGCTTCCCGGGGGACTGACTCTCACACACAAAGATATTGGAGAAACTCTGATAAATGAAGATAAAATTTTCTGGACTTTTTTGCCTGCAAATGACACCGGCTAATTTTTAAAACAAAGCAATAACAGGTTGATTTAAAATTGACAAACGAGAAGATGGGATACCTAAAAACATTTCTGACTTAAACCCAGTTGTCCTTTGATATCTGTTGGGGACTGTTTCAGGAACCCCCTGGCCATAGCACACACACACCAATCTGAGGTTGCTCAAGCCCCTCTTGTGAAATGGTGTAGTATTTGCATATCACCTGTGTACCACCTCCTGTGCCCTTTAAATCACCTCTACATTACTTATAGTATCTATACAATATAAATGCAAATGTAAATAGTTGATATACTGCTTTTAATGTTGTATTGTTTTTGTTTTTGTTATTTTAAAAAATATGTTTGATCTGCAGGATTCGCAGATGCAGAACCTGAGGAAACAAAACCATGAGTATAAAGGGGCGACTGTAGTAGCAAATCCCGATTTGCAAACAACCATTTACCAAGTTTGATTCTAGGGCTAGTCTAAGCTTCCTAATGTCTTAGGGACCATCTAATAATTTAGAAAGATAAAAGTGTGTGTGTGTGTGTGTGTGTGTGTGTGTGTGTGTGCGCGCACATGTATTACAGTCAGTCAGACCAAAATGTTAAATAACCATAAAAGAATAGGGTCACAGAATAACCAGTAATCTCAATACTCAGGAAGACTTACTGTATATTAACCAATATTGTGTGCCCACCCTGCTGGACACTGCCCTAGCCCTTAACGTACAAAGATGAATCAAAGGTAGTTCTCTCCAGCTCACAAGTACAGTGATTCTTAAACAGTACAGGCTTCCAGAGCCTTTGAGAGTCTGATGAGGCTCATAAGATTTTACCTGGAAAAAATGTACATATACACCAACACTTGATTTTGAATATGGTTTCAGGGGACTGGTGGAGACCTCACTTGAGAATCTCTCATCAAGGCAGACACAGAGTATGAATTGAGGAGGCTCTGAATTCTGGAAGGTTGGTGGTGTTCCCTTCCCACGGGTGTTTCAAAATATAATGTAACTGTTATAACGACATAAGCGTTCTACATTAAACTTGCATCTTTTGAGGTCTTCTGACTGCCCACTTCTGTCTCCGTTTGTTTGGTGTTGGTGTTGATGGTTTTAGTAGCTTGTTTTGTTTATGCTTCTGCTTTGCCAGAGCCCAAAGCGTGTATTTAATTTTCCTGTGGATAATTTTGCATTAAGCTGGAGGGAAGCATCGGTCTCCACACATATTTATTACATTACAATATAGGATGCTACAAGTTCTGAGAATGATCTGGGAGTACAGAGCAGGGGGCATGGGGAAGAAAGTGTCGTCTCAACACGCTTATCCAAATATAAGTTCTGAGCTCAAATGGAAGGTTCTGTTAGTGCTGCTAAGGGAAGGAAATGACTCTCGGTTAACAGGCAGCATCCCCAGGGTGTCCTCCACAATTCCTTTGGGCTAACCAGTTAAAAAGGGCATACGTGAGGCTGGCATGGAGAACAAAAAGGGAAAGGCATTTGGGTAGCATCAGCTGTTCTGTCCTGTTTTCCAACAAAAGATACCATTGAACACCTACTGATGGTGAGGATTGGGTGAAGTAATGTGCGAGCCAACACAAAGCTGTGAGCAAACAGGAGGGAAACAGGGAAAGATGAATCAAGTGAGAGAAAAATCCTGCCACACGAAAAAGGGAATGGAAAGGGAAGTGGATAAGACAGGGACAGAGAAAGTGGCCACACTTGGAGGACTGTGCTTTGCAACTTACCCGAATGTTGATAACAAAGAGGCTCCCAGAGTCAGACCCCGGTGACCTGGGTTCCCTTTCAAAAAAGATGTCCCTCCTTATTGTTCAAGTTATTTGCCTCAAAAGACATTTGTTTTTAACTCTCTCACTCACATTGACCCATGTCTTCTCAGTCACCACCTGCTTTCACCCAAACATCCAGAGAAAAGTTGACTGTTTTTATTTATACTCTGCCTGTTTCCAAAACGGATTTAAGGCAGTGGAGCACAAGAGGTAAGTCAAATTTCAATGTTAAAAATTCATCACTGCAAGAATTTTTCATATCTTTAGCTAGACAATGCTTGATCATTAGAACGTTATGGTAGTGCTTCTAACACTGTTTATATTCAGGCACTTCTTTCCGCTTACGTAATGGAGAAAAGCAACCGCTTGTCCTCAGCTCTGTGCAAGTTGCTTCTAAATATTTCAGGGCAGGGTATTAGGAACCATATATATATATTTTTTATTATACTTTAGGTTCTAGGTTACATGTGCAGATGCTGCAGGATTGTTGCATAGGTACATACATGGCAAGGTGGTTTGCTGCCTCCATCCCCCCGTCACCTATATCTGGCATTTCTCCCCATGTTATTTCTCCCCAACCTCCCCACCCTCTACTGTCCCTCCCCTAGCCCCCTGTAACAGACCCCAGCGTGTGATGCTCCCCTCGCTGTGTCCATGTAGGAACCATATTTTCAGGTGGAGAGTCAGCTCATGCATGTGAAGTTCACAGTGATGATAACTACCATTTTAAGGGTACCTGTCATTTTAACACAGAACCATGCTGAGTGCTCACAATAATCTTTTAAGGGAATTATTGCTAAAATGTCTTCATTTTATTTTATTTTATTTAGTTTACATTTCACAGATGAGGAAATTGAGGACCAAAAAGGGATTTTACTGACTTGCTGAGGCACATTGCTAATAGGTTACAGGTGCCAAAGGCAGGCCTCACTGAATTCAAAGCCCTGTTTTGCCTTAGCTTTTCCTTTCTGAAAACAGGGACAAGTTGCCAAAAGGCATGAAGCATCAGAGGTGGCCCTCAGCACCTGTGGCCCGAATGTAGAAATGGATACTTGCACCGAGCGTTTCCTCTGAAACACGCCCTTGCTGTTAACCCGTCCCACTTTGCCCACCTCCATAAACACTCTGTTTTACCATCACTTGTGCAATGCAAACATCATCTTTCCCCATGGGAATCTTTTTCCCGTTGGAGACCGTTGGTTCAGGTCTGGATTTGTGCATGTTTTGCCTGGCAGATCCCTGCCATGAACAATTTAAGTGACTGTGAAACAGAAAGGTAAACATACTGTGTTCAAACACCAGTGTTTTCAAATACCATTGCGGAAGTCAGATTATTAAATTAAGACCCTCGGTTGCAATTTTTGTTTTTTTTGTTGTTTTTTTTTTTTACAGTACTTTCACTCTTTTAGGGGGTAGAGGCAAAGCCTGGAGGTAATTCAAAGGGAAATGATCCCCATTAGCAGGATCCAATCAGGAGTTAATTAGCCCTTTATATGCCAGAAGCCTGTGAGTGTTCTTCAACTAACCCGTGGTTCTGTAGCTTGTGCCTAGAGGAATTTTGAGGCCAGGGTAGGAGTCAGAGATGCCACCAAGATTCTGCGATGAGTACTCAGACCTGCATTAGCAAGTCAGCTCTTTTGTGGAATGCCCCGTTTCCACATGAACTGGCACGGCTTTGTATTTCGCCAGCCGTTCTTTTCTAAGTTAGTGGCTGAGCAAACTGCTTCTAAAAAATGAAAGAGCGATTTCCACTCCCCTTGCAGATGCCTGATACGAATCTTTT